CACTAACAAGCTTTGCAATAGGCAGTCAATTCATAATTCCAGGAAGATTTCACAATTACATAGTATGGACTCATTATTTCAACAATTTACATGGATTAGATTCATTACAAACATTATTATCAGTATTTCTAATGATTATTTTCTTATCGATCAGTATTTTTATTAGTCACATAGAGATTCAGTAGAAAAATACTTATTAACATTCGATTTATGGTTCAATATACACTGGATATTTTGAAGTATCATGCAATTCTACATCATTGATGCATTTGATTAACCAATATTTATTAACATGTCTCACGCCATCGGACATTTTATTTTTTAATTTTTGCATCTTTTTTAACCTAATTACGTTTTCACTGTGAACCAGGTAATCAACATCTGTTGATCTGATAGATTTGACAATCGTACCTCCATATCCTATCCAATGCCTCTCAAAATGCCATCTCTCCTTTTCGGAAAAGCTCAAAAAGTCTGGATAGAAGCCCAATCTTTTATCTCTGAAAGGATCAGGCAATGGATTTTCAGGGAACAACTCGCACTTAACATTTTCTTTGGAGTCATTGTCCTCGAAACTTGTATTACAACTGTCCTCACTTCTAGTCTCAGATTTGTCATTAGAACTGTCTAAATCTTCTTTCTTTACCTTCTTCTGTTTAGGCGATTTTCCTTTTGTGATGAAGTCGTCCATCTTCTTATTTTTAGTGCTTTCTTTTGGTTTCTTTTTGGGTGGTTCAGACGTAGAAGTATCAGACGCTACGTCTGCCAATTTGTTAAGAAGAGACACATCGGTCTTTTCTTTAGACGTTTTGTATAAGTGCTTCAGTTCTTCTAATGAGGTAGCTGTTTTCCAGTCTTTGTCATCTCTTATCCGCGTCACTCTAGGGAATCGAACCGATATCCCATCAGCTGTGTGTAGGTTTGCTTTAGTTAACTCTGTGCCTGAAAAATAATATTGTAAATTGTAAGTAATTTATTCACATCACAGATTTTTACACCAGAAAAATACAACTCGCAATACCTATGAATCAAGTAAATTAATGGTGTATTCTTTAGTATAAAATACTAGCTTTTTCCCGCGGCTTCACCCGCGTGAAATTTAGTTTGTCACATCATATCGTCATAAATTATAGCCTGTTATTCTGGGTTATAAACAATAAAACTGTAAAGTTTCATCAAACTCCGTTCAGTAGTTTTTGCGTGAAAGACTAACAAACATCAATCCAGACATCCAAACTTTCGCATTTATAATATTAGTAGGATTTACCTGTGATCTCCCAAACAGGTTGGTTCTTGGGGTCCAAAGCAACGAAATCGGGTACCATTCCTTTATTGCAGTCCAACCAATTAGGTACCCTATTATATTCCTGTGATATTTTGGTCATTAGCGGCCCTAGTTCTTTTTGTAGTCTTTCTAACGTACTGTCGTCGTGGCCTGTGTGAACTTTGGTTACTGTTACCCATATGTTACGTTTTGTGTCCAAACAGCCCATAAGGAATACTGACATCATTCCACCCTTTTTACCAGTGCCTGAAAATTAGTGATTGTTATTAAAAATTTAATATTCTGGTAATATTCATGTTTTTTAATATAGGGATACCCTATAGTGTTGTAACATCTAAACTAAGCCAATTTGTGAGTAACCTATACAATGTCAGAAAGTTTCAAGTACTTAGGCGATTATCACACTGCGCCGCGCTCCGCCGCGGAGCGCGGGGCGACAGATTTAATCATTGTATGCAAGTACCTCAGTTTGTATAGAAAACAAGCGCGGCACTTCACACTGACAACGCGTCCGCGCGCGAGATTTTTTATATGAAAGTCACGCAGGCGCTGATAACCGCCTTACAGTTAAGTACAGAACCAGTTGTTCAAAGATAAGAATCTAAAATTTGGTTGTAGTTGGCTTGTTCAAGTTTTAGAAATATGTAAAGGTACAATGGGACTGATATATTCATGTAGATAAATCCCAAATTAAATACAGGTAACACAAAATAGTCCTCATGATCAAATTAGGCATTAAGTTCGCCTTTTGTACTGCAACTTTTTTTTTTTGAGTGCAATAAAGATTTTTAATTAATTAATTAATGTTACTCAGCATACTAACCAAACCAAGCTCCAAGTACCACAAGGTCTGCTGTGTCAGCCATAGCTCCATCAAACAAATAGTCCTTCTTGACCTTCAGCCAATGTCTTTTGCCTGGCTCATAGGTTGACTCCAAGTCTTTTAACACTAGGCCCTCAAGACCTAATTGTAGTACCTGGAATTACATAAAAAATTTCTTTTTAATGCAGTTTAAAAAAACCCTAGAAGAAAAGTTTACATTAACAGTTTTGAATTCATAAATGGTTATTTTTTTTAAATAATTTTAATATTGTCTTGTTTGTTAACAGTGAATGGATTAATTAATATTTTTAAATTAAAAGTAAGTAAGTAACTTAAAAGTATGTACCTAATCAAATTAAGCAGTTTATAGATTAGCTGGAATAAAAAATGAAGTTTATTTTCAGACATAAAGATAAGTTTTAGTTACCTCTGCAATCATTTTTGCCAAATCAGCTGGTTTTTTTATTAACTGCTGTTCTGAGAACATAACATGGTTTTGAACTTCAACCATATGATCGTGGAGAATCTGCCTCCTCTTCCTAATAGGCAGATCTATTAAAACTTTTCCGTTATAATATAAACAATCAAACACAAATAAACATACTTGAGCATCCTTAAATTTGGATTGCTTGTGTATGCCTAATGTACCAAACGGTAATGGTTTCCCAGTTTTTACGTCAACCATCAACACCTCTGCGTCCAATATCATGTCGACGCCTTCAGGGAAAGCCTTTGGCAGGTAATCCTTAAAATGACTCACTTTATGAGGCATTACTGGTTTCAAAGCTCTGGAGAAATACTTGAATTCACTGCCCTGTTTGTGTACTTGGACCCTTTCTCCGTCATACTTAATCTCCGAAAACATTCCATTAGGACATTTCTTCATAGCCATCTCAACAGATTTACAGGCTTCAGCCAACATGGGCAATACAGGGGTCATCAACACCAATGTAGCCTGCACACTTTTCTGCGTAGCATCTTTATGCTTAACTCCAGTGTTGTCTTTCATAACTCTATCTAAAACCATATTCAAATCGCGTGAAGTTTGAAATACATTGTAAGCGTCAGGGTGAACTCCCTCTAAAATATGCTTTGGGCCAGCATTTATTCGAAGATCACCTTTTATCAACCGAATCAACATTAATATGTCATCTGAGGTACATTTTCTTACTATTTTCTTGAATTGATATATTTGCTCCTCTTCTCTAGTTAGCCGAGATAGTTCTTCAAGGAAGTTTTCAACGTCATGAATAGTTAATGTACTATCGGTTGCTGGTTGTATCGTTTTGGACCGTGAAAAGTAATGCTGAATAGTTTGAGCAACGTCTCCTTGCTCTAGATGAGTTAGCATGTCATCATGATCACAGCCGAATATTCTTGAAAATAACTTGACTAGCTGCTTGCTTTTTAGATTGTACACCCTTTTTGTAACCTGAGGTAATAGTAATTTACACCACAATGCTAAATCTCCTTTGAAAGAGTTCCCATCAGTGCCTTTTCTAAAGAAGTTATTGACTGTTGAAGTTTTATCCGTGTATGCATCGACCCTGGATATTTTCTTGCATAATGAGAAAAATGTAGAAAACTTGTCATCATCTGTTTTGACGTCTTTTTTGGTATCACTGACACCTTTTTTAGCATTACCTGGACTAGATACGGTGGAAGAATTAGAAGTATTGGCGTGAAATGGCGATTCATTTTTCAAAACTTTTGCCGTGTATTTTCCACTGTTTTTCTCAGCGTAAACTTTTTCCATTTCATTAATCTTTTTAAGTATGAACTCTTGGTCATCTTTGCTCAAAGTTTGCCAGTTTCCGATGTCGTCTATTGAATCTATGCGCTTCGTCGTAGGCCGCTGCTTCAGAAGGATATTCATTAGACAATCGATGTGGTACCATGACTTCATTTGCTGGTTCTCTCCATAAGGACTTGGAACCACTTTTGCCATACGAAGCTCGCCACTAGGACAGTTACCTTTACAACCTTTGCACGACGCCCGGCCTCCTTTTGCACGATCAACGAAGAAAGGTATAGATTCCGTCATTTTACAAGAATCCTTTTGTCGATCTAGGAAAGTTACGTTATATCACTGTCACTTTTTCACAATACGTTCTCACATTATTGTTTATTGAAATAATTTTACATGTGCAACATTGTGTAATAACTACTACATTTTCAATCAAAACAAACAAAAACACGTTGAGGAGGAGACAACATCATGGCATATTTGTCATTGTCAGTGTCAAATTGACATTACTAGTGCAACGACAATCACCCAGTCACAGTTAAAGGTAACAGTTTATATTCACGTGAATATCACATTACTTTCATGTATAACAAGAATAACAACACAAAATTAGTTATGTAAAAACGAATAATTTTATCAATCAAAATGACACAAGAGATTAAATTCAAGAGTTATGGAAATATTTAATATTCAAGTGTTAACATCGACATATTTTAGAACTCCACATCAAATCCTTACTCAATGCTAACTGATTAGAATATAAATAATTTTAAACAAATATCCATCCATGTCACACACCTGTTATTAGAATATTTTTTTATCAACGTTAAGATTTTTTAATATAAAAATTACCCTGCTGGCCAAAGAACTAGTATGTGTATTCTGTGTCGAACAGCTAGGGGAGTGGCTCCCCTAGTTATTGACGAATCAAATTGACGCATGCGCGATCACGTGTTGTCAAACCATGCAAAACTTGTTCGGATACAACCCCCGTAAAGTTTGCAAATACCAGAAATTTTAATGTATTTTTTCTTTTTCTTTGTTTTAACTTTTTATGGTTCCGTACTTCAATACAAAATGAATAAATAACCTTTCATGTGTACAATAATAGTATTATTTCTTTAGTTCACAAATGTAAAACAGCTATTACAATAGTTATTTAAATGATTTCTTTTCTTCTTTACAGCTTCATCATGCCACCAAGAGTTCAACAGCGACGGCACCAAACACGGGACCTTGACTTCGCCGCACTACCCGTCGCCTTACCCTCCTAACACTCACTGCCACTACGAATTCTTCGGAAGAGGAAAAGAGCGAGTTAGATTAGTATTTCAAGACTTCTACTTACATAAGTCAGCAGATGGCTCTTCAGAGTAAGTATCAGAACAATAACTGTCGGCTATTTAGAATTAAATTCTCGAGTCACGATTTTTATTCTGGTCAATAACTAAAAAGTCTTAACCCTCCTTCTGGCGCAGTCGGGTAAACAAGAATGCACATCGAGTTTTTATTTTTATTATACATCAATAAAATATAAATTGATATCATCAAAAACGATCCCAATTTCACCTTATGGTAAATTGACTTCATGGTAATCAAAATCAATTTCGTTGATTCCAGCTGCACAAACGTGGATTCACTGCAAGCGTTCATCTACGTCGATGGGCGACTGGAGAAAGTGGACATGTTTTGTGGCATCAGCCTTCCCAAGCCTATCATGTCAAATGGGCCCAAGTTGATGCTAGAATTCCGGGGGACCCAGTCTTCGAGATACGCTAGAGGATTTAAGATATCTTATTCATTTGTAGAAAGTGAGTATTAGATTTAGAACTTTGTCGTACNAATAACCATTTTAAAACCTAGTAAGTGCGCTCATACTAGGTTTGGATTCTGGTTTTTACGAAGTAAAAAAAAAAAGAAAACCATTTGAGTGTTAGTAAGGGCCATAAAACTTGCTATTTAAAAGTTAATTAATTAATTTATTGTAAAATATATAGTTAAATTATTAAGCATCAAAAAGTTTTCAAAAGTTTGAGTATACCAGTATGGTAAACGAAAATGTGTTTTTTCGCGCTCCTGTAAAATTTACTCCGCTGCTCTTACTAGGTTCTTAAATGGTTCAGCCGAAAATCGGACTATGTCACTTATGGCAGCAGAAAGGTCGTTCCTTGGTTCTCCTTTGGATTGCGTGTTTTTTAAAATGCTTTCACCTGCATCACTGAACGGAGAGTCTAGATAAAATTATCTAAAAAGCATAATTAGGAATTTGTATTAGAAGACAAGTGAACATAATAACATGCACACACGTCAAACTTGCTTAGCAACTTATCTAGTCATCATTTCAGCCAGTGTAATGCGCTGCTGTATTATGTATTAGATCATCAAGTGCCTACTTGTCTACGATAATTTATAATGATTAAAAAATATCTTCAATTCCAGATTTCGGAATCAGTACAGGAAGGCAGCTGAAGGAGTTCCCGTGTGCGTTTGTGTACAATAGTAGTGAGTCGCGCAACGGAACCTTCGCCTCGCCCAACTCTCCAGGCCCGTATCCACGTGACACAGAGTGCACGTACTTCTTCCACGGCGGGGAGACAGAAAAAGTTCACCTGCACTTCACTAGCTTTGAAGTAGAAGGAGTTTCACCGTAAGTTATATTAATTAGTAAGTAAGCTAAATTAATTTTTCGACAAAATAACAAACTGATATCATTCACGACAAGGGCAATGCAAGCAGAGTTATTCGTCGCTTCAGTCCAATAACGTCCACTGCTGCCCAAGGCCGCCCCCAAGGATTACGACGACGAACGGTCCTGCACTGCCCGCTTCCAGTTACTTATTCAAGCCAATCACATAACTTGTAGAAATAGGACTTGGGAGAAGTTCAGTCAACTAACATTATCTGAAATAAGTAGTTCCAGTTCCTGAAGTTTGTAGTTTCTGAGTCTTAACCCTCAAACGTTATTATGTATTACATTAATTTAAGATAATGTCTTGCAATTCCGTTCTTTGATTATACTATACTACATACAATGATTTTTTATTTTTTGTTACAGATGTGAAGCCGTATCTGCTAGTGACTACGTTGAATTTTCAAACTCCATGACTGAAGATAGTAAATTTGGAAGATATTGTGGACAAAGGAAAGAGTTCCATGTAGAGTCAGAAAGAAACTTTTTCAAAGTGACGTTCAGGTCAAACGATAGGCTAGACGGGACTGGGTTCAAAGCTATTTATCAGTTCTTAGAAATAACAGACAAATACCAGGCGCCAATGCAAGAAGAAGCTTCAAGCTCTATGTGTAAGTTAATAAAAAAATATTATAATAATAATATATTGTAACCTCCTGTCTGAGGTTCCGGGTTCGTTTCCCAATGGAAGCAAAATAAAACTTTCTGCTCGGTTCGGTTGGTGTAACAAGGGCTTGTTCTCTTAAATTAAATTTGCGTTAGATTCGATATGATTTATTAATGTTATTTACATAGAGCACGTCTTATCTACTATGCAAGTTACAGTAGCATTTACAGGATTATTATTTTATTTTTTGNATTTTTTCACATAGGGCTCCCCTGACTACTAGGTTAAAATTAACCAACAATATTTTTTTTATTCCCAGGTATACTTGGTCATCGTTTACTGCTCATCGCCGTGGCATTAGCGCAATTGCATTACCAATTATATCATTAAATAAAGTGATATTAGAATAATTGACATAGTGTATAATCCTGTATATTTTGTATAATAGCATGTGCCATACACCTGTAATTACGTAGAAATGCAATATTTTCTATAATGTTACTCTTTAAGTTTTTCTCTATACTATTACCAACTAAAGCAATACAATACGGAACACAATAAAGATTTTATTAATAAAGGCACGTCGTAACAATGAAATTAATAATTTGAAATTACGATGCATTTTTTATTTTATTTTCCTACCCTTAAAAAGTATGTCCAGTATTATAGGTGGCTCAACGAAAGTTGAGGCGAACACGTACTCACGCTGATGTAATATTTGATTTTGAATACAACACAGACACAGTACACATTCAAGTTCAAATTTCGAACTACCTCGCTCTTGTTTATGTCTGCAAATGAGACAGAAAAAGCACTTGTCAAGCTTTATACCTACAACAGGTACAAAGGACATTGTCAGAAACCGCCTAAAAAACCGCCCAAAAACATTAACCCATCATAATTATTTTCTATTTTTTTTAATACATTAAGCACCCTTTCGTTCTAATGGACACTTAAGCATTGAAAAATTAAATAAATAAGTCTTTTAACGTTTATTCTANTTTGCTGTGTTGATTCAAGTCTCAAGTTTCGTTGCGCGACCAATAGAACCTAGTAAAACGTAGACAGAAAATATAAAATATTCTTATTCCTCTTTATGTCTACATATTAAAATAATTTAGCAAAAAATGAAAATATTTTTATAATCTCCGGCGATACTTTTTGGTAACGACAGTTGGGTTCGGTAGTGAGTATGTATCCGAACGTAATTTTGACTGCAAAAACAATTTTTTTTGGCGGGAATTGAAATAGGACCCTCTTGAGTATGAGTATTCTTTGAATAGGACGGTGTGGTCACGGTAATCGTGGTGTGGTGGATCAAAAAATCTCGCCTGGTTGTTTTTCACTTATTAAGTACGTGATATTCTCATGGCCACTAACCATTTACCTAGATGACGTCTACAGTCTAATGTACCTACTTAGTCAAAAGTTCAAATCAAAGTTATGCGTGCAAGGAATGGAATGGACGTGTAATAAAGTCATAATCATTTCTTAAACTTATACCTATGTATTAGTAATAGGTAAGTATTATTCCGAATTTGTTGCAGTAGAAAAAACTCTTGCTTGGTAATATTGTTACAGTTGGTGCCGCTCCCCTTGTGTATGTTGAACTTGGAAGTAGTCAAAAGTATCCGCCATTATTCTATTAAGTATTTAAGTCATTAAGTAAAGGTAAAGGCAGTAAAGGTAAGTAATTAGTTTTAAGTTAATAATTCAACTGCACCCTTTTTTCTACACAGTGGTCGAAAACTAGCGTACACTAGGACGAAAAGTGATTTTTTTGGACGAAAACTAGTGAAATCGCCTCTTTTGCATAAAATATTTTTTATAAAAAAACCCGTGGTATTTACTTATTGTCATTTAATATTAACGTAAAGTAGACTATATAAGGACTAAAATGACATAATTATACATATGAGTTAGGGTATTTTAAGATATTCATTTCGCATCACAAAGTTGGCAACTCCGCTAATTGGACGAAAACTAGCGCACTTACCCTAAGTATCATGAATTCAGTAGGTAACTTATAAAATGACAAAACAATAGCGTGCCGCTCAAATTGAATCTACTATCTGTCTGAGACTATAACCCGCGACGGCTTGGATAGGTTCCATCCCGGTTTATTATCGTTGTCCCCACCAGGCTTGTCCCCAGGTCCCCACTGGTAAAAAAATCAATTATTTTTTATTCCAATAGGCACCATTGGCCGGAGCCGCCGGAGGAGTGGCGATAACATGAATAAAAAAATAATAAATTTTAATTATTTTATTATGGAAATCCTTGGGGGAGGTCTTTGTCCAGCAGTGGATGTCATTTGGCCTGAAACGAACGAACGAATTATTTTATTAGTTCCATTGTCTATTAATTGTATAAAAATATTGAGGGTGGGCCAAATCTGACTTCTTCGCCCGTCGACGAAGGTAAAAGTGGGCCAAGAAGTCGTTGGAAGAGTCGCAGGATCGAACCCGCAACCTCTGGCATTATAGAAACTCCGATGCGCAAATTATTTTAACTACTTTTACCTTGCCTAACTAACTACTAGGACGGGCAGTCGTTTGCTTAGTAAAAGTCGGGCGAAATAATAAGTATACCTAACAAAAATTAGTCTTAGGTACAAACTTCATGCAAAATTAATCAAGATAAGGTGCATCACAAAAGTGATAAGAAAAGAAGCGGAGGCGGAGAGATTGGTTGGTTGTGAAGCTTGCTTAGAACTTCCGATGCACACCGCCACTTCACGATGGCGCTAGTTTCGCTTCGGTGCTTTGATTGTACACAGCCTTCGCGTCGACAGGTGTGGTGGCGCTACTCTCCCGTTCTTATTGGCCGTCGCACTGCCCCCTGCCGCCCCCACTCCTTCATTCAACTCGAATCCGCCGTGAAGTGTGCCGGTCGGTTGGTTGTCCGTTCGTTCCGATCGCGCGAAACTTTTTTACGCTAAAAACTACGCAAGCATCAAGTTATTTTATGTTTATTACTAGTGAAGTGAGAACCTTGTTGGATTAAACTTGTCGTGTGATACTGCGTTGTGTTCGTACTGTGAGTGTGTTGTGGTCACAGGTGTCGCATTCCATAGGGGACGCCGAACGCAGCCTCTGTACCCGAACCTGTAGGCAGGTGATCCGTTTAACTGCTCTATTTGTGGTGAGTACTTTAAAAATGTTTTTTTAAATAATTTCAAATAAGGAATGGCTTATAAAATGAGGCTGTGCGCAGGTACGTAACCTGCAAGTTGAGTAAACTGGTTTATGAAAACTCAGCGAAATGGACGAGGTTGATTACTTACTTGACTACTAGTTTTTATGTTAGACAGATAGGCAGGTAGGTATGGTTATTATTAACGTAATCTAGACATGTTAACAAATTTAAAAACCATAAATTAAGTAGGTACCTACTTAAAACAGTTAACTCTTACCTACCCAAACCTACTGCTTTTGCTTAACGAAGGTAGGTAGATACTAGGCTAGGACACCTAACTAATACCTACCTACGTAAAAATATAATTATGTTAGAAAAACGCAATGAATACGTATTCATTGCGTTACTTACTTCTATAATAGGAAAAAACATAAAACCTGCCGAAGCTACGTTCGCGTAAATCAAAGCACGCGGCATGGCACTTTATAGCACGGCTGCAAGCTACCTAATTTTCACTGTTCTAAAGCACTGCGTTGATCCCGCGGCCGAAAAGGTGGAAGCGAAGGGAGTCTAAACCACAGAGAAACTAGCTAGGTAGGTACCTATCTCCGAATGTCGCAAATACATAGGTTATCGATTTTCCTTTTCCATGCAGGTTTAATGCACAGACGTAGAATTCTTTTTCCGCGATTAGTTAGTTGGTCATTGAGACCTTAGATTAATAAAACCTAAATTTATTAAATTTATTAATCTAAGATTGAGACGCTTTGCTTGCTGCGGCACAACTACCTACCTAGGTAGGTAAGCAGGTAGGTACCTACCTACACTTTACCTAGGTAGGAGGACCCACCTACCCACGTGGTGACCCTTGCTTGTTGTTTCAAAAGGAGTCCGACTGTTCGAAATGAGAACATGTTTAAAGAAAGAAAATTAATCAGTTTAATTCGGTAAATATTTTGAAAATGCCAGCATTTTCGATTTTTTCGCATTCGCGCACGTTACTAAGTAGGTAGGTACCTACCTATGTAGTTACCTAGTAATTAGATAGGTAGGTACCTACCTACTTGGATAATAATTATTTTATCAATGTGGACATGCAAAGTTAAATGTCGTCATTATAAATCTCACACTGCACTTGAATGCAAGTTGGAGAATAGGGTGGATACCTACAATAAACATGACATCAACCCAATGAAACCAATGACGTCACTGCTATTATTAATTGTTAATTCGTGTCGAATTTAAATTCATTGGCCTATCTATTGTCTTCATATTATTATCTATTAATAGCCAGAATAAAAGGGTATTTGTTAGACCGATTTTTTGCTAATTATTGTCTAAGTTAATACGCCATTGTAATAGTACCTAAGGTGTTTGCAAAATGGTTTAAAATAAATTGTAACCACAATGTGGGAAAGCAGTTTGTAAAATAACCTCCGAACAGAAATAGAATTACAACCAATCAATTGACAAGAATTCTTCAACTATCCTGAAAATAATTATGGTTGTTTTTAGTGACAAACTTAACTCACAGACGCAGTCTCATGTCAATACCAACGTTGGACCTCATCTATGACGATTTAACGAGGGGTTAGTGCTGTCAAAGGCCAGAGAAGACAGAAGAATTAGTGTTACACATACGTTAATAAATGATTCGTTGACAGCGACTTCCACATGCATTTATTTCCTACAGCATTCTCACGAGAAGACTGATAAATGTAGGCAATTGTGCAAACAAAACAACACACATAATAGGTACGACTTATTGTCATTAAAGATAACAATACAGCCATCGAACAATACCAAAGTAGTGCCTTTGCTTTCTTACTTCTGTAGGTAGGATTATACCAAAGAAATTAATACGAGAATCTTAATATGTGTGTCATAATAAAATTATGCGTAGGATGTTTTGTCGGAAAACCCTCATGCTCATGAATTGCTTGAATAATAGACCATAGACTCATTGGATTATTAGTTTGGGCCAGGGCTAGGGGCTGCTGTGTGAGATCGCTTCTTAGCTATAAGAACGCCTAAATTGCGCCGTTCCATGTATTTCTAATGTGTTGTGTATGGTATAAAGTACCTATTTACCTACTCGTATATACTTATCTTTTAATGATATTTTATTAAGAAGACAGTGTTCCTGTACTTACCTTATAATTTCTGTTGGATATAAAATCGATCTCCAACCATTCCGAATGCGAACATTAAGGTTGAAGATTTATTAAAGCGAGCCGAGTACGCTGAAACTATACAGCTTATCTAATCGCCGATTTATCCAGAGCTATCAAGGCATTCGTTGGGGAAGCGTCTAATGAAGGGCTTTGCAGGAAGTAACATACAGCATGCAGCATAAAACAGTGCTCGTAAAAGTTACCCTGTCCATTTAATTTCGATTAAGCGCTTGTTTCAAGAGTGTAAAGGCGAAAATCCATTGCAGAAAAATAATGGTTACAATAATTCGTAGGTATCCTCTTTCTACAGTACCTATTGCTTACTGATGTGGGTAATCTTGCCAAATGAATTGGACGGCAAAATTAGGGCTGTATTTAGGAAACAGATAAATGCTGCGGTACTTATTTATAATTTAAAACTTAGCTGGAATTAAATGACAAGATTTTTTATTAGGTTAAAAAATTGCTTATGGCCCAAAATCCGAATCAGCGATTCCTCATCCTCATTAATCTTCATGGCATTAAGCTCGCCTGTTGTACCACTGTTTTTATGTGTGCAATAAAGATTTTAAATAAATAAATAAATCCTCATTACTCGTCTTTTACTTATTTTCGAGTCTAGTTATGTCATTTCGGTATCTAATAAAAGAAATCCGTTTTAGGACCGCAGAAACTTAATTTGGGATGCCTTTGCCATACATTGTTAAATATCGCAATAAAAATCTAAAGCTATATTTAGTTACTNATTTTCCACCCTTGGGGGTTGTTGTTTTATTATTAAATTTAAATGGGACCACCCTTGAGGTATTACCTATACGCTGAAAAAAGATTTGTTCAAATCGGTTCATAATTGGCGGAGTTATCGCGTAACAAACATAGAAAAAAAAAAAACATACGGGTCGAATTGAGAACCTCCTCCTTTTTTTTGAAGTCGGTTGAAAACCATAAATTAAGTAGGTACTTAAAACAGTTAACTCTTACCTACCCAAACCTTAACGTTAAGCAACCTTAAGCTTTTGCTTAGCGAAAGTAGGTAGTTAGGTACCTACTAGGACACCTAATACCTACGTAAAAATATTATTATGTTAGAAAAACGCAATGAATACGTATTCATTGCGTTACTTACTTCTCTAATAGGAAAAAACATACAACCTGCCGAAGCTACGATCGCGTAAATCAAAGCACGCGGCACGGCACTTTATATAGCAGTTATAGCACGGCTGTAAGCTACCTAATTTTCACTGTTCTAAAACACTGCGTTGATCCCGCGGCCGAAAAGGTAGAAGCGAAGGGAGTAGGTATCTCCGAATGTCGCAAATACATAGGTAATCGATTTTCCTTTTCCATGCAGGTTTAATGCACAGACGTAGAATTCTTTTTCCGCGATTTAGTTAGTTGGTAATTGAGACGCTTTGCTAGCTGCTGCGGCACAACTACCTGGCTAGGTAGGTACCTACCTACTTTACCTAGGTAGGAGGACCTACCTACCCACTTGGTGTCCCTTGCTTGTTGTTTCAAGAGGAGTCCAACTGTTCGAAATGAGAACATGTTTAAAGAAAGAAAATTAATCAGTTTATTAATTCGGTAAATATTTTGAAAATTTAAGCCAGCATTTTCTATTTTTTTCGCACTCGCGCGCACTTTACTAAGTAGGTACCTACCTACCTATGTAGTTACCTAGTAATTAGGTAGGTACCTACCTACCTACTTGAATAATAATTATTTTACAAATGTGTTAAATGTCGTCATAATAAATCTCACACTGCACTTGAATGCAAGTTGGAGAATAGGGTGGATACTTACAATAAACATGACATCATCCCAATCAAATTCAGATCTATGTAAACCAATGACGTCACTGCTATTATTAATTGTATTCGTGTCGAATTTAAATTCATTAGCCTATCTATTGTCTTCATATCTATTAATAATATTAATAATAGCCAGAATAAAAGGGTATTTGTTAGACCGATTTTTTGCTAATTATTGTCTAAGTTAATACGCCATTGTAATAGTACTACTTAAGGTGTTTGCAAAATGGTTTAAAATAAATTGTAACCACAGTGTGGGAAAGCAGTTTGTAAAATAACCTCCGAACAGAAACAGAATTACAACCAATCAATTGACAAGAATTCTTCAACTACATATACTGAAAATTATGGTTGTTTTTAGTGACAAACTTAACTCACAGACGCAGTCTCATGTCAATTCCAACATTGGACCTCATCTATGACGATTTAAAGAGGGGTTAGTGCTGTCAAAGGCCAGAGAAAACAGAAGAATAAGTGTTACACATACGTTAATAAATGATTCGTTGACAGCGACTTCCACATGCATTTATTTCCTACAGCATTCTCACGAGAAGACTGATAAATGTAGGCAATTGTGCAAACAACACACATAATAGGTACGACTTATTGTCATTAAAGATAACAATACAGCCATCGAACAATACCAAAGTAGTGCCTTTGCTTTCTTACTTCTGTAGGTAGGATATAATATACCAAAGAAATTAATACGAGAATCTTAATATGTGTGTCATAATAAAATTAAGCGTGTCTTGGCCAGAAAACCCTCATGCTCATGAATTGCTTGAACGATAGACCATAGACTCATTGGATTATTAGTTTTCGTAGACTAAGTCTAGGCTGCTATGTGAGATCGCTTCTTAGCTATAAGACCGCCTAAATTGCGCGGTTTCCATATTATATGTCTAGTTGTGTTGTGTACTGTACAGTAAAAAGTACCTGTTTACTCGTATATGTACTTATCTTTTAATGATATTTTATTAAGAAGACAGTGTTCCTGTACTTACCTTATAATTTCTGTTGG